ACTTATTTTGAAATCTTCCCTATAAATGATTAATGGTTGTGTTCTGATTTAAAGATGGACAAGTCCATTTAAGATATTTAGCATAGGTATTAGGGTTACTATGTCCCACCAGGGCATTATTTTGGCTATATATACAACAACTCTGTAATGGTTGAATAAAACTATAAATTCATGGTCACAATCCAATGTAAATTTAATAGAGTGAAAGGTTGTTCCTTCAATTTACAATGGATGAGTGTAATGAACAAAGATGTTTTTTCAAAATGGCTTTTAAATGATTTAAGTAAAGTTATAAAGTCATAATTATTCAGTCAAATATTTTAACCATTTTTTTCTCCAGTTCAGTGCATTAAGAACTTTTATAAGAACTTTATCACAACACAAACTCTACTGGGGTATAAATGGATCATAATTTTGACAAAGTATAAATAAATGCCAAAACTATATTGGTATACAAACTTCAGACAAATGATGAAAATAATGTAGCAAAAACAGCTTAATGGAGTCTCATCATTTCCCTGCACTATTAACATAAAAATATCAAGTTGTAATACCTTTTTGTGGTTTGAATGGTTGCTAGGGACAAAAATAAGCCTACAAATTCCCCTAAGAGTTTTGTATTTCTAAATTGATGTGCAGACAACTGCAAGGCTGAAGATGTTGGCAAACTATCCAGAGACATGTCATGGCAATATAAAAGTCTATTTAAATCAACAAGATTCTTGTTATTCTGTCTCATATAGACACAATTAACAACAAAACTATATTCTCTTTGATAAAATAACTACAACAAAATTTCCCCTCAGACAAAAAAGACAATGAAAGAATTACTACAATACTTGAACATAACAGAATTAACTCATAGACAAAGTAAGTGCAACAGAAATTCCTTTTGGACTCAATACAACTACCCTGAAAAAAATAGCAAAAATTTATCCTAGGCAAAATAACTGGAACAGAATTACCTCTTGACCAAAATAACTACGACAGAATTTCCATTTGGGAAAAGCAACAACAAAATTTCGTCATAGACAAAATAATTCACACAGAATTACCTCTTAAACAAAGTAACTATACAGCAGAATATCTATTTAGACAATTTATTACATGCTTTTCGGTAGTTTATAGAAATATATCAGTGAAATAAAAAACTGTTATTTACTGATGTGACATCGTAAATGACGTCATGTTGTATCATTATTTGGTGCATTTTTCATTTAGCATTAGGTTAAAACGTCTTTTTAACGTTTCTCTGCATGTAATAAAAAGAAAATTTGTTTAGTTAAGTGTATGATCGAAATATATTTCACCTCATGAACACCAAAAGTTCATATTTCACTCATAGCTGCACCACTCGTGAAATATACCTTTTGGTGCTCACTTGGTGAAATATATTCTGATCTTACACTGAACTATCAAATATCCTCTATACAACTACCACAGAATCAACCATATTTCCTTTTTGGGCTAACAGAGACAAACAAAACAACAAAATTCTCTTATTTTTTGTAAAGTATACTTTTTTTCTGTTTAATTTTTTGGATTTTTTAAGTAATAGATTAGTACACATACTTCATTTCTCCTTTTGGATTTTATAAAAACACTGACCTTTTCCTCCCAGGGTTTTTTTGTCTGATTTTCATCCCAAATCCCAATTTCAACACATGTTTGGTCATATCTCTGTGGTCAGTTGACCAACCCAATTTTGCTGGATAACTTACTGATAACTACAAAGTTCTTCACAACATTCATATAGGAACCAGCAGTGGAGAATAACATGGCATTAAATAAATTGTAGTCAACCAAACTTTAACATATGCCAAACCAAACCTTAAGTTCACAAGTCTAGGTCTGTTGACCTTTAAACTCCCTTCATTTCTCCCTTTGACTACCCCAGGCTGAGAAATTTGAGTTATCAAAGTAATAAAAAACAAACTAAAATAACATCGATGAAATCCAATTACTAGATCTAGTCCTACAGGCAAATTCAATTAGATAATAGAACACCATCATGAATCAAAATGCACTATAGAAGTGTTCCATGTATTGATATAATTATAACATAAGCGATTTCCATACAGTTAGATAACAGCCGCGTCACGACAAAACCAACATAGTGCGTTTGCGACCAGCATGGATCCAGACCAGCCTGCGCATCTGCGCAGTCTGATCTGGATCCATGCTGTTCGATAACCAACTCTATTACAAGTAGAGAAACTGATAGCGAACAGCATGGATCCTGATCAGACTGTGCGGATGCGCAGGCTAGTCTGGATCCATGCTGGTCGCAAACCCACTATGTTGGTTTTGTTGTGACGCGGCTCATATATAGTCTATATTTATCCATGCAGTACTTTTTGAAAACAAAATATTTTAACAGAAACTGGATATAAAAAGTCCATATACCATAGAAATAAATATTTGCAAGAAGAGCATTTTCATTGCATGTTTGCTACCCATATTTGGACAGAACAAATGGGTTAAAGGTTTTATTAAAATTTTACAAATGACTCAATTTTATAACGTCTAAATACAATTATGAAAAATGAAAGTTTTGCTTACAATACAATTAAATGGTTATAAAATTCCATTACAAACCAAAATATTCATAATAAATTACAAACCTTTAAAAAAAAAGACAGCAGACCAATTTTGTTTCCAGGACAATTAAATAATTATAAAATTCCAAACCAGTGTATTTATCTATTCAGAGAAAAAAATATTTCCATAATCTGTACAGTGCCATCATTATTTATACAGCATCACAATGGCTAAAAAATATCTCAGAGACAAAATATTCTATAGAATGAAAATAATATCACTAGAATTGAATGGTAACATGAAAATCAATATAAATCTTCTTGATAAATATTCATGAAAAACCCAACAACATTTTTTTATAGAGAATTTTACTTTTGTTTGATTCAAGATAACAGAGACTACTAGTGAATTTTACCTAGAAGTGAGAATTCTTAAATATTTTCACAGAGGTAAAAATGTCACTTATCACCTAGTTTTGAATCAATAAGATTAAAAAAATCAGTATCAGACCATACAAACATTTGACAAAAACATACATTAAAAAAGACATCTTTAATAAAAACCTCTTTGCTTTCCATTGATGTATATATCAATTATGGTATAAAAATACGATTATTTCTCTCCAATGTTTCTCAAGAACAAAACTTCTCTAGAGCAATAACATTAAATGGTTATAAAAGTCTATAACGTACCATTCTAGAGAAATATTTACAGACACAAAACAATGAATAATGTTGTTCCCTTAGAACCCATATTTTTATAGCTTTAATGGTTGTTTCTATGATAATTTCAAAACATTACTTTGCAAACCCTTATCTTTATCTTAAACAATACAATGTTTTAAAATCTAATATTTTGATTTCTCTATGATAAATTAAACAATAATTAAGTGGTTATTAAAGCCAATATTGTACCATTCCATACAAATATTTATATAACAAAAACTCTTTTTATATTTTTATCTGTATAAGATTTCTGTTTAAAATACAGGGTCTTTTTTAGTTGGGTTTTACAGCTTACCACAGCAGAGCTAATATGGTGACTTCCCAGCTTTACTGGTAGATGAAAACCTCAGGTGCCCCTTCATGCATTGTTTCAGACACAGGTAGGCACTTGAGTAGAACCAACAATGTTCTGTGAGCTTGCTGGATAGCTTTCTCACATAAAAAAATCCATAATCCCTGGTGAATTCAAACTCAGAGAAGAGAGGGGAGAGTGGTTAGAAGTTAATGACCTTAACCACTTTGCCACAAATGCCCCACTTGGTGTATTGTATCAATTTGTTAATTGATTTTATTCACACTTGTGGTGGGGGCTTGTGGGAATAAATATGAGCCGTGTCATGACAAAACCAACATAATGGGTTTGCGACCAGCATGGATCCAGACCAGCCTACGCAACCGCACATTATGATCAGGATCCATGCTGTTCGCTATCAGTTTCTCTACTTGTAATAGGGTTTGTAAGCGAACAGCATGGATCCTGATCAGACTGTGCGGATGCGCAGGCTGGTCTGGATCCATGCTGGTCGCAAACCCATTATGTTAGTTTTGTCATGACTCGGCTCATATATCTTCATACAATCAACTTGAGAGACACAAGTTACCCATCAGAGTGGCATATTTCTACAATATTTCCTATATACAGCATAAGAAGTTGCAAAATATCCTGCAAATAATTCATTAGAAGAAATATAAATAGTTTATTTGGGATGAACAAATATTACAAATAAATGGTTATAAAAATCCATGTTAAACCAGCAATAAAATAAATATTAAAGAAAAAATTTTTTTTTAGAACTTTTATATTATAAATATAACACACATTAAACAAAATATTAACATTACATTTCTCTCTATAACTTCAATATAAAAAAAGTTTCATTTGGCTGTAAAAAAAATACCACCATATAAATAATCACAGCATTACATGTGCATTTTTTATACTTCTCTATTGCATAAAATAAACACTGTTAAAAAACACAGTTTTTATCCATGAAGGCAACCAAATGATCATTAATTTCATTTCTATTATAATGAAGAAATCCATTTCAAATAAATATTCACAGAACAGTTTACAATTTAATTTTATAAATCAACAAATTTTCTTCATATATCATTAAAGTATATACATTTATATCAAAGACATGATCATTTCCATCCATTACTTCTCAAAATCAAAATATTCTCTACATGAAATAATTTTCTGAAATTATATTGCTATCATATGAACAAATATCTAAACAATTTACATTCTATGTTATTATAAAAATAATCTCTACACTTCTGTTAGTCAAAAATATACTACATAATTATATAAATCTCCATATTTCCATGTTCAAAAAAGGTAAGTTTTGTAAATTAAATGGTTATAATAAAAATCAATACTATAACATATAAATATAGAAGAAGACATTTAATGACATATTTTCCCCCTATAAATCTTAATACCATGATTACCTTGATATTGGTCATCAGTATATAACTCCAAATCCTCGAGCATCTAATTGTTATTACGGAGAGCATCTAACTGGGCAATTCCAATATTCTCCATCCATTATATCGGGAGCCTTCGTCTCTATAAAAGCAGTGGTTTCCACGTACCAATCAATACTAAATGTCTGTCACCGAACGACACCCTGTCATCTCGCAGCAATTTATACACCATTATTTGTATTCTATCACCTATACCATCCTTCACCATCATATAATATTTTTTTGCATGAAATAAATTTCTCGGAATAAACAACCTAAGTTATGATAAATCACCTTCACCCATCCCATAGTCTTTGCATACAAACAATAAATCTTCAGGTTTCAGACAAAAGCATCTGTTAAAATATTGTTGGTTTTGTTATATATATTTCACAGGAAAAACAACAAATAACAGTGATTTTATAGAGGTTCTTTTTACAGTCATGTTCTTGCTTTGAATAATTTTCATAAATAAATACTTTGCAAAAATCTTGTTTTTTTGTTTGTTTGTTTTTTGTTATTTCATAAAGATTACACAGGAAAAAATGTGATGATGGTCATGCTATTTTTGTTTCATAAAGATTTAACAAAAAAAAAGGTTGGCGATGATCATTTTATTCCGTAAATAACAACTATGTCCTAATCATGTAATTTTTGTGTCATCTAAACTTCCAGGAAAACACCATACTTGATGTTGTTTATATCCCGTCAACATTTTCTTCCTAGTCAGACAATTAAAAAGTTAAATTTAAATTCAGTTAAACTTTTCTTAATTACAGAATGAAAGATTCAAGGAAGAAAACTAGACACAGATTTCTCGACATGCTACTGTTTTGTCAACCTATGGAAAGACAGCTAACACGCCTACATGGCAACACTCAGTGTACCCATGCCCAAATCATTCAAGTGTTTTTTTGTGATATAAAATTGTATAGGTAAAAAAACTATATTATAATAATTCCCATGAAGATATATGTTGTTATCACATACCATCTTTTTAAATAAAGGTCATTTAAAGTAAATTAAGATAATTATTAAGATCATTACTTTTTTTTTTTCAAAATACTGCGAATTATATGTTTCAATAGTCATTCCAATCCATATTTTTTGTATAAGCTATTTAAGCTAAAATGTTTTTTGTGACAAAGTTATATTAAAAGAAATACTTTAATAAAATGTTGTGTTTTTTCCCCTCAAAATATTACATTCATTCCAGTTCACTCAGATTGCTTGGGAAAAAAACAACATGTGATTATATTTTTTTTTATCACAAAAATTGCTAATGAAAAAAAAAAATTGTTCTTCAAACAATTTACTTATTTTTTTTCTCTTCTCTGAAAATGTCAGTTATCAATACAATTAATCATGTTGAATAAATACAATAAAATAATCTTGTATCTGATCAAATTTGTCTCCTAATATAACAACATTAAAACTGAATACAGTATCTCGTTATAGAGCAAAAAAGTAAATGATGCCAATCCATAGTGTAAAATGTGGCAGAAATTACGTCTGCTTCTTCTGTAGACTCCACAAGATTATTCTCTCGAAAATTAGACAGAGATGATGGAAGTCTGCAAAACTATGTTACCTACTCAATCATTTTCTTAATTTTTCTATGTTTTCTTAGCTCAGAGTTTTCCTTCAGTTTCTAAGACAATTTATTTTAGTGGTGGCAGGCCTAGTGGTTCATGTGTAAGGCTAGTTATTTCAAGATTGCCGACCACAGGAGTTCAAAGCATGTAAGAAACAAACCATTCTTTCGATGAGCAAGAAACTTTGTACAGTTACTATATACATGTAGTACTAGCTTGTTTGAGAGTTGTTCTATAAACATGTAGTTTCCTCCACATGCAAACTAAAATAAAATCAGTATAAATAAATTAACACAATTTGTTAATTACACTAGTTCAGATACTAGGAGTCAGGGAATCCCGTCACAAAAATTTTAGTACTTACTGTAAATATTAAATTTGTGAAATTTAACATCACGTTGTTGTAAACTTTAAAGCAAAAAAGTATTTTGCATAATTTTTAGAAACAACGGCTAAAAGAACATCATATATATACACACTTCTTTAAAAAAAAGTTCCATTTTATTCTTGTCAAGAGAAGACATTCTTCTGATGTTTTTTTTCCTTCAAATTTTAATTTAAACAGAAAACAAGTTCCCCATTTTCCTTTTGAAAACAAATAAGACAGGAGAACATTCTGCAGAAATCAAAAAGACCTTTTTTGTCCATTAAAATAATCTTGAAATTTCCCTATATTTTTCCGAAGGGAACATCTGTTTTGGTTGTATATTTAAGGAGCTCTATGAGTTCAATCTTCAGTAAAAGAAAGAGGGTCTTTTGTCTCAAATATTGTCCAATTGTGTTGTTACTGTGCCCCCCATTTTCTGTTTTTTCTTTTATATTCAACATAGAGGATATTGAACGAGTGTAGTTTAATACTAAATTTATTGAACAAGTTGAATAAAATCATATTATGCCAGCCTCTGGCAAGCATAATATTGTTTTATTCAACGAGTTCAATAAATTAAGTATTGAATCTACACGAATATAATATTCTTTTTATCACATATATAAAATTAGAACAGTAAAATGTTAAAAAGAATCATTTTCCATTGACGCACCTACATTAGCGCACTTTAACGCTACGATAATGTATCGCGAAAATGATGTCACCTCAAGACTTTAGTGTTACACTAGTGTAATATCGTTTTTATTAAATGGCTTTATTACACTCCTGCGCCGCGGTTTATGTGATAAATCAAATTATCACTGACTCAGTGACATTTTGGCTTAAAAGATTTTCTGCTTGTTGCTCAGAAATTGTCTTAACCCTGTGTAATTAGCTATTCAGGCAGTACATATTTAAAAATTCCTCTAAAAATGATGAATAGATTAGTCCATACTAAAAGATGGACAAGTCCATTTAAGATATTTAGCAGCTATTAGTGCCCAAACTATTGTGACACAAAAATTTTACCAACAGTCATATTCATGTAAGATGCTATATGAAAACATGTTAAGAAAAGTTTGCCTGTAAAGAAATAACTGTTGCGAAATCAAATATTTGCGAATAATTTTAATTCGCAAAAATCGCAAATAATTTCACGTCGCAAAATTAACCACTTATACAGTATTCTGTATCTGCATAGTTTGTATAAAAACCTTGTAACTCTTATGAAATTAAAACAGTTTATTGTTAGTGTTACTAGTTTCAATATCAATATGTTACATTTGCTTAATAAAGTCAGGTCAGACTGTACTGTTGGCTTTCACCTCTAGCTTTCAGGCAATAAAAGGATCCATGAAATGAATACCTTAACAACATTGACCCTATCTAGCATTTTGACTTTCTGGGGAAGCAGCCATGCCGTTGATTATATGGTATATTTGCAAATGGGGAAGAAAAACCCGATGTAAATTCAATTTTTAGGGAAAACTGCAGGATTTTAAAGAATTTTTCTTTGGGGAAGCCACCCTTAAATGGCCCCTGCTATTGAAGGAAAAAAGCCCTGTAATAATTTAGTGTTTATAAACAAGGTGTATAACTAGACAGCTATTATTTCTTTACTCTGTAATTAGAATATTTTTGCTCAGAGACACACATAACATTGAAATTTAATGCTTAATTGCCAAACATAGTTCTTTTAAATTGAAAGCTGAAAGTGTGTGTGGGTGCATATTTGTAAAATAGGTACAGAAACAAATTAATATCTTTACACAATCTATGTTTGCATTTAGTTTAATTGGATTACATGGAGTTTACATAAGAACTTTAGTCTTCATATCTGTGGCTTACACTTTCAAACAAAAACAAAAAAGGATTTGAAAGTTTCAATACATATACATTGCAACCTTTGCAGATACACACTATGTAGAGCAATGTTCACAAACGCTGTATCAATTCTTCCAAAAGTAAACCTACACAATAATCTTATATACTCTCGACCAAAACATCTCAATCTCAACTAAAAACAAAATTTTAAATGATCAAAACTGAGTTGCTCTGCAGAGGTTGTACTGGTATGATTTTTTTCCATATAGACTGTTGGGACAATGTCGGTATGTATTTCTGAATTTTCTGGCAAAATAAACAATTATGAGGTGTATAAATAACAATATTCTATCAGGACATTTAATGTTGACTGAACAAAGATGAAAAGACAAAAAATACATGTTCATTAGATAACTGTTTATTGAACCCTTTGAAAACAATAACATCTTCTGTTACTTTATTAATCAATTTTGTATAATTTTCACAAGAATCTCCAGATATACATGTTATATGCCCCCCTTTACCCTCCCAATAAAATAACAAGGTTTGATCTGTAAAGGCAACATTCAAGAAGATTTTTATCACAGAAACAGGTATACTCAATTGAAAGAAAAACAAACAAACAAGGACATGGAAAATATGAGAAATTGAAGATTTTTTTGTCCGCTTTATTATCCATGTTCAGTGTTACATTGTCACCAATAACATCTTTAACAGCAGTTACTAAGGTTTATAAAGCACTATATATTATACAGTCAAGTCTTCATCTGAAAAAAATAATTTCCTTTGTGTGACACATGCTCAGTTAGAAGTCTTCCAAACACTTCACTATATGATATATAATCACAGAAATGTTACAAAAACAATAATCACCAGCCTTGTTTTACCAGTATTAGAATCATGACAAAATCTGGGGTAAAAAAGGAAAAACATCTTCACACCAAAATGTGAAAATAACACGATACTTATGCAAAAAGTAACATATGTATGGTGTAAAAGAGCTAAAATTTTGCATAAACCAAGAGTTATTTTCAGAATGGTGAGGATGTACAAAGTATTATCTAAACATTTTTCATATTGTTGTGGATATTATACAGAGTGGCATTTTAAACAGATACCCTGTACTTAAAGGATCATCACTTGACCGTGTTTATTATAAATAATGTCAAAAATATTAACAGCCTCCCAGCACCAATGGTATATGATAAATGGTTCATTAATATTACAATATTATAGTGCCAACACTTTAATTAGATGATAAAACCAACATAATGGGTTTGCGACCAGCATGGATCCAGACCAGCCTGCGCATCTGCGCAATTTGATCAGGATCCACGCTGTTCGCTTACAAACCCTATAACAAGTAGAGAAACTGATAGCGAACAGCATGGATCCTGATCAGACTGCGCGGATGCGCATGCTGGTCTGGATCCATGCTGGTCGCAAACGCATTATGTTGGTTTTGTCGTGACACGGCTCATATATTTATTTTATGACAGGGAATTAATTACTTTAATTACATGTACTTGACTACCTTACAATGTAAATTCCCTGAATTTCCTATCCCTGTTATTTATAGTTGGCCACATTAAAACGTTAAAATACAATGTATCTATTTTTTCTTTGTAATAGGTAACATTTAAATAGCAATTAATATTATCTTTATCGTCATAATAATTATCATCATCATTACAATTTTATCATATTAAATTATATATTTATCAGTACTATTATCATCATTATTATCATCATCATCATTTATTATTATCAATGACTATTTCTTGCCATATTGGATAAAATATTTTCAATTCAAAACAAAAGAGAGTGTAATGTTTCAGATATATTTCCCATCCAATAAACACTTTGTGTAACAAGAATGTATAAAAATATTCAGTTTAGAAGATAACTTGTGGTCTTAAGTGTGGCTGGAACTTGTTGGCCTTCACCCCTAGTCTCATATGATGTCTGTGCTTCATTCTCTGTACAGCACCTAGATCCTTACACCTTTGTTTAGCCACTACACCTGTAATATAAGTAAACCATGTTTTCACCTAGAACTTTACACCTTTGTTTAGCCACTACACCTGTAATATAAACAATTAATGTAATTTATTACTGGACAGAAAACCTGTTGGTGGTGATAATGTTAGAGCTATGCCAACAATATATTAACAATAATAATACTGCCTGTTTGTAACGTCGCTTTTCATTAGATAATCATGACGTTTATATAGTTTTATATACATGGCTGCTGTCGATTTATGAAGAAATCTTACTTTTTCTCCACAAAATGATGCTTGCTGTATTATATTCGTTATAAAGATTGTTGACAGGTTATATGGCCTTTTATAAACGGCTGTTTGCAACAAACCCTCGCCTAGCGGCTTGGGTTATATTTACGAACAGCCGTGTATATAGGGCCATATAACCTGTCAACAATCTTTATAACTAATAATTTAGAGCAAAAAAGGTATGCACCCACGTGTATAAGCAGGCTGAATACTCCATGATATGATCTTGAAATTCCTAAAATACAAATAAACTCAAAACTAAGAGCAGGACATGTTCATCAAGCTTTAATGAACCCTAGCCTGGTAACAGTGCATGGTAAGGGTTAAACATAAGAAACAGTTGGAGACTTAATTCTAGGATTTTGTAATTGCATTCCTTAAACCTTCAAATAGATACTGAACATTTATATGTATATTTGTAAAGAAGAACATATCCATTACATACATTTAGTACTGTTAGTGTTAAAGGAGGCTGACAAGACTCTATGCTGAACAAAAGTGTTGGCTGGTTAATTTTATTGTGAAAATAAGTAAGAATTCCATCATATATTTCATTATAACTACATTTGTATTTGTATTAATTATTTACACACGGACATGCAATCAAAATTAACCCTTAACTTGCTGAATTTCTTAATTGGACTTGTCCAGCTTTTAATTATTGAACTGTACATGATTATCAAGATGAAAATATCAATATTGTCAGCCAATTTACTGGTAGCAATGATCGTTCAGCATGATAAGGGGAAATAATCTGTTATCACAAACCTGTAGCTCCAGTCCAACCGAGAGCTTTATACTGTGCCAACATTTTAGGAAGTATTGACTTGGTTCTTTCCCCTGATCTGGGATTTATATTCTGCTTGTAATATCTGTGTAATGATCTGTGACCAATTGTTGCCCCTGTTAATACAGTAATACAATATGCATGTATATTGTGTAACTGTTTCATTGTTATCCATAAAGTCAATTTTAGATTTTTTTTTATTTATTTAGAGTTACAAAAAAAAAATCTATTAAAAACATGTTATTAACATTACCTAGACAGTCAGATTAAAATTAAAAGATATACAAATGTAGTTTGATATCAGGCTAATATAGATTTCTTAAACTATGATTTTCCAGCAGTAAGTTCCCAGGGTTATCTTGATATCAAATTTATGTATACACATGTACATTAATTGTTCAATTAACTTATATGGTAAAACTCTTCAAAAGAAAAAATAATTTGAGAGTAGAATAAAATTCAACCCGATAACTTGCATTAACTGGTCCTCACAGAGGACTGGAGCCAGTGACATTACTAATAGCCAGTGGCCTATCCGGAGCCAGTGACATTACTAATAGCCAGTGGCCTATCCGGAGCCAGTGACATTACTAATAGCCAGTGGCCTATCCGGAGCCAGTGACATTACTAATAGCCAGTGGCCTATCCGGAGCCAGTGACATTACTAATAGCCAGTGGCCTATCCGGAGCCAGTGACATTACTAATAGCCAGTGGCCTATTAATTATCTATTTAAGAATTTGGTGTTGAGGTAAAATGGTAACTTTTTAGCTTTAACACTGTTGGAAGACCAGACCTCAAGGAAATCAAGCTTGTACAAGAATAGTGTCGACCTTCTGAAAGCCAACTAGAAATTTTTTCTTCATCCTTCATAATTCATTATAAAACCTTTCATTGCATTCTTATAAACAATTTAACGATTAAAAGTTGAAGATTGTATATCTTAAGTAAAAGCATTCAGCAAATTTACCTGATGGAAGTACGAGTTCATATCCCTCGGCAGCGAGGGCATCTGGTGTGACATCTGTCTCCATTTCCTCACTCTCGTCAGCCTCCGCACCCTCCATATGGTCGGGATAACTACTCCTGTAGCAATAAATCACAACCTTGCTTTTAATATGAAATTTTTTCAGATCACTGACTTTAAAACAATGAACGTTTGAATATTTAACCCTTCACCTGAAGCTGAAACCCGTTTTCACATTAAAATTGTCAAATCAATATTTCAGAAGACAGCTGAAACTTATCATGCCTTGAATTTTCAAATGTATGTTTACTTTTTATTCTAAAATTGTGGCATTAACAGTTTAGTGTCAAATCAGCCTAAACAGACATTTTGCTTGTAAGTACGAGGGTTGTCCGGAAAGTTCGTAGACAAGACTATTAAATTACTTTAAACAGCCATTATCAATATGAAGATTGAATATTTTGCTAAAGTATTTATTTGCTACATATTTTTAAATTAAAAAACATGATAACAGTAATATTCGCAAAGCGCCGATCACCATGGCAACATGATCAACGAATCACGGAGCACTTTGATTTCGTGACAATAGCTACCCGGGTAATAAGTTGCTAAAAGTTGTAATTTTAACGCAAACTCTCGTTTTAATTTAGTGACATCATGGGATACTATTACATGATATTTAGTGAAAATTATGACGTCATACGCAAACAAACAGCTTGTTAACGACGATTAAAGGCAATTAAGGTGCATAAATCCTGTGCTGCAAAAATGACGTCGAATTTACGGACGGAGCAACGTAATGATATTTAACTTCATAGTAACGCTAATATGGCACCAACTGAGATTTAATCTTTACTATAAAAACAAAACCAACCATAAAATGTTGAAGGTAACTTGTGTTTAAATGTCAAACAAGATTAAGAAGCGGTGATGACAATATGTCGTATAAGAAACGCTCCAGACGCCTAAAGGTAGCATGGGCGAGATATCATATATTGCGTAAAAACAACCTTTGAAAAAGACAGACATCTCACACACATTATGGGAACCAGTTGCATTTTTGTTTATAAATAATAATTTTAAATATGAAATTCATAAAGTAAAAGCAACATAACATGTATTAAGTATACACCAGACATGAACTATGGCTGTTGAAATCGGAAGAAATTGAATAGCGGGTAAACATGAAGTTAATTTGACACCGTTGACGTTGTCAAAGTGCTCCATGATGATGTATATATGTTGTATGTAATTACTGTTAAAATACAAACGTAAGTCACAGTTTAGTAAATTTTTGATAAATGTGTTCGCTAGATATGTATATTTTTGCTGACAATATTTGTACAACGTATGTATTGTTATACAATAAAAAATGAAGATGTATATGAACTTTCAGGACATCCCTCGTATTTCGTTTTTTAAGGCCTATTTAAACAAATTTTTTTGGTCATATCTCAACAGCCAATCAATCTAACTGTAATAAATCTAACAGTACCAATTTATCTGCAAGTGACTGACTACTAATCCCAAATGATTTTAGAATCAGAGGTGAGAGAAGTAATGACAAAAAAAACTCAATGTCTATGGATAATTTTCACATAGAAATTTTGTTCCGTATGAGAACTAATCATCCATGGCTTACTAAACAGATTCTCTCCCTTTTTCAACTAAGCGGGCACCTTATTCTATTCTAGTGATATAGACCCAACATTATAGCTGTTTGTATTAATTAAGGATGTAGATATAAAAGTTTCTGACCTGTAATCATAGAAATCAGCATACTCCAGCAGTACATCTCCCTCATGTAACATCTTACAGTGACCTTTATCTTGCATATGTTTCTGTACAGACAATGTTGAGTTGAACTGTTTTCCTTTCTCATTACACCACAGGCATACATTACCCAATCCTATCTTTTGACCTGAAATATCAAATAAACAACAATTTACTTGTGTGTTATTACATAAAGTTGTCAGATAATTTTAATGGTTATAATTTTGCTACTTTAGGATGCTAGCAGCAATTTGTTTTTTTGGGTTTTTAAAATCACACAACATAGAGGTGATATGGTGACATTCAAGCTTAACTAATGGAAGAAAACCTCAGGTGCCCCTCTGTACATTAATTCAGGCATGAGCAGGCACTCAATGAAAGCCTTAAAATTTTAAGTCCAGGTAAGATTAAAACCCACAGCAATAAGGGGCAAGTACTTTGAAGTTAGTAACCTTGACCATTCAGCCAAAGACGGCAACAGTTACTTGTCTATGCAAACAGTAAAAAGAGCCATTCTAGCAAATACATGCTTGCATTCTGTTCAGATGATGGTCAATTTAAGTCTCTTCAGATAACGTAAGACAGTTCTGAAGTCAAAGAAGGATAAATCTACAAATTCAGCAATTAAACAGTTAATCTAATTGGTGGGCAATTATCAGAATTATATATAACAATTCAAACACAAAATCGGCTTTTATGAAAATGAATCAATAACAACAATGTCATCATGTATTTCTGCAGATATTATCAGTTAGATATAATCATTATCTGTTAATCATTCTTATTGGTTTTGCAACAAACTGCATCAAATAAAAAGAAAGTTTTTTTGCAGGGTTTTGTTCTTTTATCGGTTATATACCACATACAGAAGTGGACACATACTTAATTTCACTTTTACATGTTTACTTTGATAATTTCCTTTATATAAAACTCAACTGCAGTTTTCATAAGCAAGTATGACAAAGAAAAGAACTTTTACGCCTTTATGACAACAATTCTTCATCTTATCTATTTCTTGCCTGCATATATCATCTAGCCCGTCTTTTATCATATTTATTTAAGCTTGTATTATTTCTAATGTTATGTATTATCCAGTATTTACCTAGATAAGTTATAAGTCCCTCTAGATCAGAGATATATTCAGCATCAGGTAGGAAGAAGCTGTGTTTTACTGTCATATGTTTCATATTCTCCTCTAGTGAAGAGCTGATGTGTGAACAGAACAGGCACTCTTCTATACCCAGACCATCTTCGTCCCCGAAACTGTCGACAGATTCAACATCACTGTCCATCTCTGTAAAATAAAGTCAGAAATAATTTACCTTTGGCCCCCTTGCAGCAAGAGATTCTACCTATGCTACAAGTGTAGAGCAAGATCCAATGGCACAGATTGTTGGCATTTTATGGCAGTGAATCATGATCTGTAGTATACTGTTTGTAATGCAGTGAGAATATATTTTGAAATTTTCCATAAAATGAACGGTTCTGTGCACAATGAGAGATGAACAAGTATTCCTTACCTGCATCTTCATCATCATCATCATCTGCACCTCCAGTGGCTCCTAAATCACTATCTACCACTGGTTTCTGTAACCTGTCCTTCAGTTCTTTATTGGCAATATCCTTCTCTAAATGTTTTACATTCTCTGGTAGCACCTAGCAAATATGAAGACTATATATTTAGAATATGACACTTTCTTTAATTTTACAGTTTATACTTTATTCTTGTTCTAGTTTGACAATGTTGGAAGCTATAAGCTTATTGACACACTCTTGAATCTGTTCCTGGAAAACCAAACAGTATTAAGCAATGAATGTAAAATTTCTTGATTACCGAAACAATGGTTTGCCATCTCTGCTAACAATTTGAGAATGAAATGGACTAACCTCAATTCCTTTTGCTTTATTCTTTTCATTCCTTTTCTCAACTTCTTTCTTAGCTCTTTGTGCTTGTTTTAACTCTTGCTCTTTGTGTTTCTTGGATTGTAAATGGTTGTCAAGAGCATTCTGGGAGTTGAATGATTTACCACACAGTCCACATTGCTGAGTTTGTTTCTCTTCTGTCTCAACCTGAGGTAAAATATGCCATGTAAAACCCTGAAGTACATTTAAAATACATGTAAAATATACCATATAAAACCCTGAAGTACATTTAAAATACATGTAAAATATGCCATGTAAAACCCTGAAGTACATTTAAAATACATGTAAAATATGCCATGTAAAACCCTGAAGTACATTTAAAATACATGTAAAATATGCCATGTAAAACCCTGAAGTACATTTAAAATACATGTAAAATATGCCATGTAAAACCCTGAAGTACATTTAAAATATGCCATATAAAGCCCTGAAGTACATTTAAAATACATGTAAAATATGCCATGTAAAACCCTGAAGTACATTTAAAATACATGTAAAATATGCCATGTAAAACCCTGAAGTACATTTAAAATACATGTAAAATATGCCATGTAAAACCCTGAAGTACATTTAAAATATGCCATATAAAGCCCTGAAGTACATTTAAAATACATGTAAAATATGCCATGTAAAACCCTGAAGTACATTTAAAATACATGTAAAATATGCCATGTAAAACCCTGAAGTACATTTAAAATACATGTAAAATATGCCATGTAAAACCCTGAAGTACATTTAAAATATGCCATATAAAGTCCTGAAGTACATTTAAAATACATGTAAAATATGCCATGTAAAACCCAAAAGTACATTTGAAATACATGTAAAATATGCCATGTAAAACCCAAAAGTACATTTGAAATACATGTAAAATATGCCATGTAAAACCCAAAAGTACATTTGAAATACATGTAAACTATGTCATGCAAAACCCTGAAGTCCATTTAAAATATGTACATGTTAAATATAAGCTGTAAAGTTGCCATGTAAAACCCTAAAGTACATTTAAAATACATGTAAAATAAGTGCTGTAAAGAAATCCTGTTTGAAAAAAGTTCTCTTAGAAACAGAAAGAAATATCTGTTAAAAACATATCGCCAATAGAAGTAAAGATTTATTTTATGACTGCTAAACTTCTATATCAAAACAATTTGTTACAAAAGGTGAAATTCAACTACAAAATTTAATAGCTTTATGCCGATACATATTTTGATGTTTTACCAAACCTATGCATAATTTTGCCAAAGAATTTTATCAACACTATTTCACACATTCTTTTATGGATATAGAATAAGATGTATACAACAATTGTTCTAAGTATATGTTTTCATTCCTCCTATGTTTCTATGATTTAACATCATCAGATACATTTACACCAATGTGTACATGTGTACACAGTTAACTAGTACATTGTAAAATGATATTTGGAAATATACATTTCATTCAATGCTTCATAGAGCACCACTAATGATGATATAATACCTTTGACTTTCAACAGAATGATATCAATAGTATAGTATAATGGTAAATACCATCATGCTGATGAAAAAAAACAACAACAAGACTGTTGTTAGAGAAGTTTCCCTATTTCTTGCTGGCAACATCCATTTCTGATAACATTTAAAGTTTTATTTGTATTTCACACCTTCAAGTTAGTTTATAATTTTTATTTTACCAGCACAAAAAGAAGTATGTATAGCAGTATTTTTACATTTACTATACATGTATATATCTGACAAATGAAACGGGTTAAACAGGCTGGTGAAAATGCCCGATCGGGCTTATGTCATAAAAAATCATATTTCTAGAAAAGAAATAAAGATATTTCTTTTAAATTTTGGTTGTTTCTTGAGAATAATATTTGACATAAACTGAAAGAAAAATATTTGGCTACTGTCACTTTTGTAAGATTTATTTCCCTTTTTTTATGTTTTTTTAACACACAATTTTTGAAGTCCTTAAAAAGTATGTTACATATGCAAAGTGTAAAACAAAATAGGTTAAATAACTTCTTAATGCTCTAAATCATTGAGCCAACACCTGTTAGCATACATTTCATTCAGTTTTAGAGAAATTCAAAGTATCATGTTCAGTGTCAAAGAATTGTCAAAATATAGATACCAGAAACAGAATATTTAATCCAAATATATAGAATAAAGGTATTGGCGCAATTATCTAGAGCAAAATGAGGTTGTTGGACACATTTTTATTTAGAATTTTACATTACAATATAATTTTTATGAACCTCAAATATTTTGTTTCTTGAAAATGTTAAAAAGGGAAATAATTCTAAGAAAATACAAGATAACCAAAATAGTTTGATTTTGATTTGTATCATATATCAATGCTAAATAAACAAAACAAGTGTGGCGTGGCCGAGTGGTTAATGCGTCGGACTAGTAATCTAAGGATTGCTGACAGTGTGGGTTCAAACCCTGACAGGGACAAGCCGTTGCTTCCTTGAGCCAGAAACTTTCCATTCATTGCTTAGTACTTGTTAGTTCCAGGAACAGATTCGAGAGTGTTTCAATAAGCTTATAGCTTTCAACACAATCAAACTAAAATAATTTTGTATAAACTAAAACAAGTGAGAAAGAAACATATTAATTATTTTTCTATAAATATGATATTTTATATCTAAGCCCAATTGGGCATTTACACCAGCCTGTTAAAGTGGTACCAGTGTTAACTGGTATATGTCAAGATGGTCAGTTTGATTTGTTTGAAGTCTCATTGACATTTTAAAGCTTTACTGGTGACCAGATTAAGACTTCATGTGCTCATTTGTGCATAATTTTGGCATATGAAGGCACCTGTGTAGAACCACTGACCTTCGGTAAACTAGCTAGACAGCTTCCTTGCAATAAATAATCCAAATTCCTTGAAGGGATATAAACCAGTAAGGGACAAGTGAATAAAGCCTGCAACCTCAGCCACTCAGCCTTGGAGGTAATTTAGATGACCATCAAATACTTTATTGGTACCAAGCATGGGTGTGTTTTTTTAAACCTTACTTAGATCTTACAATACAATGATGCCTTAAATACAACGCCAAATCTGATATACATGTACACAGTACTCACAGTTTTTTGTTGGGCTGTAAGCACCCTCTGCTGGAAATTTTCAGCATTTACAGGGGGCAGTTCCGCAACTTTACGTTTGAGATTGTATCTGTGCCAGTCAGTTTTATAATGGGCTCTCTGAATCTCGGCATCGGGAAACACAACACGACAAGCATTACATGTATAAATAGACATCTGAAACAAAATCATGAAATAATATTTTGTCATTTTTCCTTTTTCATCATTTTGGAAACATATTAATACTAATGGATAGGGAAAATTTTGTAGTGTTTCATAAATTAACATATCTTTGTCATTTTTTTTATTGCAGAGAGTCTGAGACTCAATGATATTTATAGCAGAACTGTCATAATCTGTACATGTTTTAACTGGAAGAAAAAGAAAACACTAAACAACATATACTTGTCTAGCTCTTGAATTTCTGAACAATTTACACCAAAAATGCCAATTGTAATAGAAAACCAATGTAAATGGATAATGGTCTACTTGAAAATTATAGTGCATTTCATATGTCTAAAGGTAATTTAAAACTTAAACACAAATTTTACCCGCGTGTACTTTTTTCTTAGCATTTAACAATATTCATTTTATCACCTTTCACATAAATGCAAAGGAATAAAATTCATTCACTGTTGGTGCTAAACATTCAGGTGTACTTTTTCATTTTCTTTTACCACAATAGAGTGTTTTTAAAATCATACTTTAAATCAATAATTCATATTTTTATTAGGTTATTCCTAATGGAGGCAAAGTATTCCAAGTTTCATGCTGATGCCATTCATAGATGGAAATCATTCAACTTAATTTTGACAAATTAAGAAAAGGCATAAATCCTAAAATAATGTCTTAAGAATTATGCCCTTTGTCTTAAAATTACATCTTATAATGATTGTTAATTTAAATATTATATTTTCATGTTGATACCTTTAAAATTGTTTGAGCAATGGGTTATATTAAATTTTGTGCATGATGACAATGACAACAGTAATGAAGTCAACAACACTGGGATCACAATAGCTTGACTCTTTCTTCAAAACAGACAAGCTTTTAAAACAAGCATTTTAATAATGGCAAATGAGTCATCTGGACACAAGAGCTGTCGGTAGGACAGCAACGCTAGACTATTCTTAGTGCGTGATAGTAAAAAAGCCATGATAATGTAAAATTTTCTTAGTAAAGAAGAGGGTAAAAATTTTCTTTAAATCCATATTACAGATATAGGACTTGGAGAGAGTCCTATTATGCTCTCAAATAAGACTATAAAGTTTCAACTTGTTTCAAAGCAATATGTCAATGGACTTTGAAAATATTTGAGGTATTACAAAAACTTTAATGTAAATTCTAAGTCGAAAAAGGGGCATAATTCTGTCAAATTGCTTGATACAGTAACCTCCTCCTGTCTACAGGTTGGGGTCATGATGGTGAAAAGTGTGCAAAGTTTCAAAGCCATATTTCAATGGACTTTGAAAATATGTGAGGTATTACAAAAACTTTAATATAAGTGGTTACGCCGACGCGGACACCAACGCCGACGCCGATGCTCGGGTGACTACAATAGCTCTACTTATTCTTATCGAATAGTCGAGCTAAAAATTAGAACAAGAGTCAATATGAAACCTATTTAATTATCAAAATGTAGCAAATACTGATTATATGAAATTCATAAAATGTAGCTTTAAATACATGTACATTTGTACTAGCAAACATCATATATACTGGCATGCGAGTAGTTCCAGTACAAAAGCAGTATCCGTATTGGTATAAATGCTTAATCCTGCTTTCACCTATGTGTTGTCAAAATGTAACCTAGTAAACATTGGGGGCTTGCATCCTTGCACGCATGTGCAGAAATACTGTAATTAACAGCTAGCATTACTGTCACATGAATATCTTCAAAAGTGATGGTTTTGAAAACGTTTGGTTCCCTGTCCTATTATTTTTGAAGTAAGCCTGGAATCAGTACAAGCAGGTTACATGAACTATAAGCGAGCTCAAAGAGCAGGTGCGAAGTACCTACTAGATAGTTATGGTTTCGAAAACTTTCGCCGTAAGTACTATGAAATTATAGGTTATTGATTAATCGCAACATTTTGAATTGCAAAATAAGGACAAAAGCCGAGGAATTCTGATTAAAAACGGATGCATAGACTGGTCTTCTGTGCACTTAAATGAGAACCATAATAGGACAGGGAACCACAATAAACGGAAGCAAAGAATTAATACTGAATGACACTTTAAAACGGAAAAAGGTCATATAAAACATCAAATGGCCGTATATGGTGAGTGGTTTTATTAAGTGAATTGTTTGGCCGAAAGTTCAAAGTGTATTGAAAACATAAAATGTGAAGCCAACAATGGGTTTAGATTAAATCTTCTATAATTTCTGTCAAAGAGCTCGCTTTAAGGTTTTGCCTTATTTATTGTAGCAAGCCGGGGATAGGTGGCGCAAATCAGCGATAGCTCAGTTGGTTAGACCACTGGCTGTCTCTCCTGAGGTCCCGTGTTTGATAATGGGTAACACCCTTGGGATTTTTCAGAGACACTTTCAGAGTTTCCCACCTAACTAGAGGTGTACTGGTAAGAAATCCTTGTAATCCTCACATGTATCAGTGCTATACATTGGGCAAGTAAAAGAACCAAGGGGTCTATTCAATAAGAGCTAGGGACTGGTTCCCGGATTCCCTTGTATCTCATAGCTGTCTCTGCAGTGACTATTCTAGTCATGTCTACATCCCCGCTAGGGGTTTGACATTAAAGGAAGATAGATAGATAAGTTTTTTCTGGTTTCCTGTATCATCATGGTTCCCATTGTAATTGATATTTGGAACCCCTTGCCAAATTCCATCAATCCAAATACAAAGTTCCGTGAAAGTACTTTTTCTTAAATATAAAGTATGTCAAATTTTGACCGATTCAAGAATACTGTACAATTTTTGATAAATTACAGTCAAAATAATTACCTTTACACTTAACTTATTCATAAAATATTAATAAAATTGGGATTTCCAGGACTTGATCAATTTTGATGTTGATTGAGCCGAACATTATTATGATACAATCTATTTTTTTGTGAGTGAGTGACAGTACTAAAAAAAAGTTTTCAAGTAACTACGATTTTTTTAACAGGAACTATTCGCATGCCAGTATGTATTGTACAGAACCACATTGTACAAACACGTTTTATCCGAATATCATACTACTCACTTAAAGTTAAACTTACCTTTCAAAAAACTGTAATATATCAAACTAAAGAGTAAAAACTTGTTGTTAAAATAAATGTTTCAATATTTCAACCTTATTTTACAATTTTGTTTAACATAAAATTACTTTATTAGTAAATTTTTATGCTTTTGACTCTCCTTTTGATCCTTCTTGAACGCTTATTGACAATATAGCGAATTGCGCAACAAGCAAGCGTCTGCCGTAAAATGACATATCCCAGGGTTCCGTAAATGTAAACTTCCTTTCAGCCAATAAGTTTTAAGAAAATGGTAGTGATATTTTTACTTCAACGTATATCTTTTCACATCTGCTAAATTAACTCATAAAATTATGTTTTAGGAATTGAAAATTGATGAGGGAGTAGGATGCTACATAAATATATGCATAGTTTTGCTTATGTTTCTTTCAAATTGTAAAAAATACCCAGTGTGAGGAGGCATTAGCTCAGAGGCAGGCAACGAAAGTTTATGAATTTCAGAGCTACATATACATTGCATATTCCTCTGTCTATTAGTTTAAAATACCAAGAGTCAGTCTGATAGTGTTAACTTTGTATGGTGTTGATGTGACCATTGGATTTTCCTTGTAAATCGGTTGTCTAGCCCACGAAATTGTTTTTCTTATTACAATCCAGGTTACCCCATAATTTCTGGTGACCTAGAGGTTGAATGTTTAGCTTAAGGTCTTCAGCGTACCCGTTTATATACTATGACATGACATGAACGCTGAAGATAACCCCGTAGGGAAAGTCCACCAATAATCGTGCCAGGAATCTGACACGCTCGTATTTATTCATCGAACATGCCATGAAGTAAAGTAAAGCATACCTTGATAAAACTATATATAATCTGTTGATAAGCCAAGGATGCACAAATAAAAATCTTATTAGGAACATAAACTACCTAATAGTTTCCGACAGGTAAAAATTTTGGCACTTGGCCGCCATATTGCCAAAATGTTTGACCACGTGATTACGAGATTGACCTTTATGAAACCCATGTGCCTCCAATATTTTTCTACATTACTTTTTTTTAAAGATATTGAAAAAGGTGATTTACTGACTTATATTCAATAAAATCATATTTAAGTACTGAAAAATTTATGAAAATAAATAAAAACATTATCTTAAATGAAAATATTGAAATCATGTCAACAAAATGTTCTAAATATAGTACACGACTCTATTCAAATCTGTTCCCGCGAATGACGTCATACGAGATCTCGCGTGGCACCTGAATGTCATGGCCGACTGTAGTCGGCGTAAATTGATGTTTTACAGTTAAATGTGCAATTTTAATGACGGTATTAATATTTTGATAATTTAATTGGTATAGAATGATATTAAAATAATTGTTTTATCGTTAAATGCACGAGAATTGATTCGGTCAAGTGTATTTGCAAGTGAAAAACAAGAATAAATCAACTAATGTTATTCTGGTTAGGTTTCGTAACGGGTCTAATCCAAAACTTTAATGCTGCATCAGATGAAAAACAAAAATGTAAAAGAGCGGCTTATAAAGTTTTGGAAGCCAGAACTATTGAATGTTAAGTCATACTAGTTTGAGAATGAGATTGCTAAAACCATAAATTGCACCAGTGTAGGTTGTGGGAGTCTAGAGTCGTGTCACTAGTGCTACTGCTACTCGAACCCACATCAAATGTCAAACATTGTATCACACTCGAGACATTTCAGTAATTTCACACGTAAGACAGAATTTTCACACCTTGATGTCCTTCCCAATTTGTCAGGTTTATGGACATTTTTCTGCCTAAAAATTAGTTCTAAGGTGACTATTCAAAGAATAGGGAGAGCTATACTTGCCTTGGCAGCAGCATTGCTGGTTAATTTTCTGCATGCAGATTGCTATCTAAATAAAATCTATATAAATTATAAAACTACTGAAAGGACTGTGTTGAAACAATGAAAAATAACTGCAAAAAATACTTTAAAACGTCCAATCCTACTAACCGGTAATATTACTATTTCTGCAGTTGAAACTTCATTATGAAAGTTTGATAAATCGGCACACATATACATGTATTACTATGTCGGCACTTATTGATTGATAACAGCATCCATTGGAAATTATCACAGGTCAAAATGACAAGCAAGCTAATTGTATGATAGGTCAATCAAGTGCATTTAAGAATTTTCACGGTCAAAACCCGAGGTCTCGGACTCGAATAAACACCTTATAAATTATAATAATGATAACAGTTTATTTCTAATAGTTCTATTGCTAAAAAATTACAGGACAGTAGGTATGGAGAACTTTCTAAATATTTCGACCTTTAGAAAAATTACCAGACATGACTGACGATCCGACTATGTTTTGCTTGGACTGAAAATTATATGCAGTTCAAACAAATTGTGAATGTTAAGCATATTTTGAAAGATTACAACCATATTTTCAGTTCAACATATATCCCATATTAAGCATGAGAAGTTATAAAGATGTGATTCTCATTGACACTCTCTGCTTTTCCATGTATTGTATAAAAAAAAAATCGTTTTTGCAAAGCAATATTTTTTTTTTAGGTAGCTATGATTTTGTGGGTAGGTAGCAAGAGGGGAAACAAACTATGTTATTTTAGACTATGAAATGTGCACATTAACTGATGACTAAAAGTTGAAATGTGAATCATATACCATTTTGTGAATTATGCACAAATTGGGCCATGTACATGAATATCTAAAATAAACAGTTTATTAAATACTGATTTTGCTGTATTTTGCATTGTTTTGACCTTTTAAATTGACTTTTCAGGCCAAGCGTACAAAGAAGGTTGGGATCACTGGGAAGTATGGTACCAGATATGGTGCCTCCCTCAGAAAGACTGTAAAGAAAATGGAAATTTCCCAGCACTCTAAATACACATGCCCATTTTGTGGAAAGGTAAGCTCATGCAAATTCTAATCTTGTTAACTAGGTTTTAACATTTTTCCAAAAGTCATGATTTTTCCAAAGAATTGGCCATGTTTTGTCTTAAAAAAAAAAGAACCATATGTTTACCTGAGGTTAAAAAGTTATGCATATTTCAAATTCCAATAGGAATACATATTATTAGTCCCCTACAGGTTTACCAGAGGGGACTTTAGGTTTGCCCACCGCCCGTCTGTCTGTCAGTCCGTCCGTCCACAAAACTGGATCCCGCAATAACTTGAAAAGTACTGAAAATATTTTCAGAAACTTGATAATTATATGGATAGATGGCAGTATGGAGATTATGCATGTCTTTTTCTTTTCTTCATATGTTGAAAATTCTGGTTGCTATGGCAACAAATAGGCTGAAAATATGGCAAATTTTACACATAAACTGGATCCAGTGATAACGCAAAAGTACTGGAAATATTTTTATGAAACTTGAAATATGGGTAGATGGCAGTCTGGAGATTATGCACGTCTTTTTCTTTTCTTCCTATGTTGAACTCAACATTCTGGTTGCTATGGCAACAAATAGACCGAAAATATGGCAAATTTTACACATAAACTGGATCCAGTGTTAACGCAAAAAGTAATAGAAATATTTTTATGAAACTTGTTATATGGGTAGATGGCAGTCTGGAGATTATGCACGTCTTTTTCTTTTCTTCCTATGTTGAAAATTCTGGTTGCTATTGCAACACATAGACTGAAAATATGGCAAATTTTACACATAAACTGGATCCAGTGATAACTCAAAAAGTACTGGAAATATTTTTATGAAACTTGACATATGGGTAGATGGCAGTCTGGAGATTATGCATGTCTTATCTTTTCTTCCTATTTTGAAAAAATATTGGTTGCCTTGGCAACAAATAGGCTTAAAACATGGCAAATATAACAATATTTGTGATAAGTCAAAAAGAGCTGAAATTTTTTATGAAATTGCATCTTTAATTCAAGAGTTATCTCCTCTTTAAGAATTTTGCTTTTAAAAATGTAATATTTTGGTAACAGGGAAGTTTCAAATATTAACTTTGGAGTGTCCTTCAGTCCGTCTTGTCTATCTGTTCATAAAAACTGTTTCCTGTGATCACTTTTAAAGAACTTTTCCAACAAATTTCCTTAAAATAGAGAAAAATTGAAACATTAGTGAATGGCCAATGGCCCTTCAGAATGTTGATGGGGTTCTTACCGGTAGGGGACTTATGGATTGCTTGCAATACTATGATAATTGCTTGTTACTGAATAGGATTCATTTATTGTTATGTTGAGATAAGGAATGAATTAGCTATTATATTCATGTTTGAAGATGAAAATACCCTCATTTTTTCTCCAAATTTATAACTCAATGAATAATAGTTCACCAACAAAGAATAGGCTTTCAGTGTCATTTTTTGTAAGTGGGAAATAATATTGCACAGCATTGTTATTTTGAGCAAACAAAACTGTGCTTTCACATAAATTTTGCTCCCAGTCATGAATTAAAAGTCTTAAGTAGTTTATGTATTTTTAAACATGTATAATAATACTAAATAGAAGTTCTGCATGGGAATGGAATACAATTTGAATGCAATATTTTCTTTGAAAATAATTTCAGGACGCAATGAAACGAAAAGCTGTTGGCATCTGGGCATGTAGTAGATGTCGTAAAGTTGTTGCTGGTGGTGCTTGGGTATACAGGTGAGTTTTAAACTGTTAATTACATATTTATGTTATAAATTGTTAATGGTTGTGAGTCTTATACCTTTGAGTATGCTATCAAAGTAATGCAAGTGAACCATGTCATTTATAGTGATCAATTTAATATTTATTAGTCCCCTACCGGTTTAACCGCAGGGGACTTTAGGTTTACCCTCCGTCCATCTGTCTGTCAGTCAGTCCGTCCGTCCACAAAACTGGATCCCGCGATAACGCAAAAAGTACTGAAAATATTTTTATGAAACTTGATATATGGATAGATGGCAGTATGGAGATTATGCACGTCTTTTTTTTTTCTTTCTATGTTGAAAATTCTGGTTGCTATGGCAACAAATAGTCTGAAAATATGGCAAATTTAACACATAAACTTGATCCAGTGATAACTCAAAAAGTACTGAAAATATTTTTATGAAACTTGAAATATGGGTAGATGGCAGTCTGGAGATTATGCACATCTTTTTCTTTTCTTCCTATGTTGAAAATTCTGGTTGCTATGGCAACAAATAGCCTGAATTTCAAGATTTCTGATTTAAATTTTTCAGCTTTTTCACTATATGTTCTTTATTTCTTAAGGTGTTTACTTCAAACTTTAAATATAAGTTTCTGGTCATCAACCACATCATATGTGACAAGGTTTATAACTCTAGCACAAAAAATATCAGTATTACCTCCCTTGAACTTAGATTTTTTAGGGGAAAAAATGTTGTCTTTTTTAAATAACTTCTTTATTTCCTAATGTATCTACTTCAAACTTCATATATATGTTTCTTATTATCACTCGACATTTTTGAGAAGGTTAAATACTCTAGCAAGACTATTTCCAGAATTATGTCCCCCTTGAACTTAGATTTTTTTAGAGAAACTGGTATTTTCACTCCAACATCTTCATTCCTTATAGGATTTACTTTAAAATCCCACATCGTAATAATATGACAAGGTTGTATAAACATAATTTCCTTACTAAGCATGGAAACTTAACACATTACTGTGATATAGACAAACTTATTTTATTATGTTTTGTGGTTGATATTTTCAAATACAGACTTCATCCTCAAATTCATTATAAATGGCAATACACAGGAGTGTATGACAATTAAAGAACTTTTTGAGGGACCGGTAGGGGACTACTGTATTGCCCGCAATACTATCAAATGCTTGTTAAAAGTTGAATTCATTTCAAACGAACAGAATCTGTTAATGTATGTTTAACATATTTTCAAGGGGAAACAAAAATGTAGATCTATGCAGAATTGTGCAAGTAACGGCACAGTTATCTTGTTCTTTCTTACTTTGCCATATTAAATAGTATTGCAAGATATTTTTATGCTTCAAATTTATTGTACAAGATTACTTGTGAGAGTATTTTATTGCAGAAACAAAAGATAAGACCAGATACATAAACAATAAATAGTATATGCCAATTGATGTACAATTGATCAGAAGGAAAACAAGTTTTTGGAAGTTTTGGTCCTTAAGGAATTAATTTACTGATATTTTCATTATTTCAGTACAACTGCTGCGGCCACTGTGAGAAGTCAAGTGCGTAGATTGAGAGAAATGAAGGAATCCTAAATACCATCGTTGTTTCTCTGTATTATATGTGCATTAAAACTTCTCTAAACAATTTTTTTTTCTTGTTGTATTTGGGATCACATCATTCAATCTGTGTTTTATTAAAAAAACTGGCAGTAGTTGAAGTTAACATCAGACAATTTATTATGTCTCCCAAAATTTTTGGGAGACATATTTTTTTTGGCCTTCCCCGTCTGTTCGGTTGTCCGTCTGCATTTAGCTTGTCCGCTCTTCACAGGTCAAACTACTGGTGGGATTTCAAACAAACTTTCCAGGAGTGATCAGTACCATCCTAGTAGTTGTGCACATTTGTTCCACTTCAATGCACAAATCG